ATGTTTTTGTAGTCGTTCGAAAACAAGATCCAGATGCTTGAGATGTGATTCTCTGTCTGAACTTGCGATTAGGCAGTCGTCAACATACGCATGTACGAAGTTGAGACCTTGAAAAACGTCGTCTATGAATCTTTGGAATGTTTGAGCCGCGTTTCTTAAACCGAAAGGCATTCGCAAAAATTCATAGAGTCCGAAGGAAGTTTGGATGGCGGTTTTCGGTATGTCGTCTGTGGCCATAGGTATTTGGTTATACGCTTTAACCAAGTCGATTTTCGAAAATACAGTTGTACCTTTCAAGGTAGCTGTCAAATCGTGAATTTGAGGTGACGGGTAACGATCGGGAATGGTTTTCGCGTTCAATCGCCGATATTCACCAGTTGGACGCCAATCGTTGCTGTCCTTTTTAGGGACCATGTGCAACGAAGATGCATAAGGGCTACTTGACGGTCGTATGATTCCTAAGTCTATCATATGGTCGAAATCGTTTTTTTCTGACCTTAGATTTCCAGGAGCTAGTTGTTGTGCTTTAGAGAATACAGGTGGTCCTGTAGTCGTGATGTGATGTGTAACGTTGCTGGTTACACACGGTAGTTTCAGTTGAGTTTGTTGTATCTCAAAGTAATTGTCGAGTAGTGGTTGATAGAGTGGGTCTATCATATGCTTAATTGTGACTGGGGATAATCTGCAACCAGAAAAGGAAGTTACTCAAAGGGACAAATTACTGTTTCCGTCTACTAGCCTCCGTTTGCGCGTGTAGATGATCAGATTATGGTGTTGTAGAAGATCCATACCAATGATTCGCATAGAAACATCTGCAATAACGAAGATCCAGTGAACGGGTTTGCGCAAATCCATGTTAGGGTAAACGTACCTTTTGCCATACGTGGCGATCGGTTTTCCGATTGCCCCCTGTACGTTTAGAGCCGATCGTTGGGATTCGCTGGGAGAACGCTAACTTCTGCGCCAGTGTCGACGGGGTAGCGAACTCTTGTTGTCACATCTGTGACGTATAACAGGCGGCAATGTTCGCCGGCTACGGTTGCCGTTAACGCGTGCCGGCTTGGAAGTTTCCCTAGTCAGTCGGTTTGGAGTTGGGAAAATTGCAAGGTTTTCTGCAATGACGTTTAAGTGTATTACATAACTCGGTTATGTCGTTCTGGTTCGTTTGAGGCTTTTCTTTGACTGAAAAAGCCTCGGTAGTAGAAAATTTCGTAATTTCTAAAATGCGGTCGGCAGATGAAGTCAGTTCGTCTAAGGCGTTGTTTTGAAACGAGACAAGCACAGCTTGCACCTGTTGAGGAAGTTTAGACAAGAAAAGTTGTTTAAACAGGCCTTCGTCGAAGTTCTTAGGCCTATAACCTCTCTCATCCTTTGCAACATGTCCATCGCGGAACCGTGTTGCAGGTCGATGTTATTGAGAAGTTCGTCTAATCTTTGTCGATCGGTTAGGTCTCCGCGTTTAAGAGTAGAACGTTTTAGCGTTTCGTAAGGCTCAGAAACATCACTAGTAAACATACAAGGTGTTACACACCTGTTGAATTCGCGCGGTAGTGCCTTGTCTACTGCGAGGAATCGCGCACGCGTGTCGATCACGCCGTGCTCGGAGAAGTCGGCTTCTGCGTAGCAAAACCAGGCTTCGATATTGTCGGGTCAGAAAAGCATACGGTGAAACGAGGGTGGGGACATGGTCGTAATCTGAAATACTTTAGGAGTCTGTTCGTTCATGATGAAATATGAAGTACGGTAATGAACGAGGGGAAAAATATATATATCCAAGAAAAAACACGAAAAAAAATCACAACGTATAGAAAATAAGGCAATAATATATAAAAATCCCAAAAAGGAACAGATTCACAGTTGCAATTAGGTGTACCAGATCATGTCGGTCTCACCAATGAAGATGATACAGGTATTCAGTGTTTGGCAACGCTTTAACCAGTAACACCTTTTAATATAATTCGTAACCACCAAGAGAAATCAAAAGACAGAGTCGAGGAGATCGGAAGAGTATATTTGGCGATAACCAATATATCGGAATTCTCTGATCTAATCTGGCTAGCGATTGCAGTAGCAGTTGAGCATGGCGTTACCACACGTGATCTGGTACGGATGCCTTCAGCTAGATGAGTCCACTAAAACATGTGGTCAGCATCCAATGTCGAAAACTTACAGAGCTATTTATTTTGGAGATTTATTTACCGCTACAGTAAGTAGAGCTGCCTGTTTCTAATGAGTTCACTTATTCAAATCACCCTGATTAAAAGTAGGAAAAAATGCTTTTGGTACTGTTGCGATACGGTACTAAGCCCATGTTATGCTTTGCACAAGTCATAGTAGCTGACCTGATCTAGCACTCATGAATCCAAGGTAAATCACAACTGCATAAATTCTTTGCTAAAAAGCATGTAATTTGGTCATTTATCTATTCCACATTCCTGACTGAATTGATTACTATTTTCTCATTTAGAATGCAACAGGAGTGAAGCTTCACAGATCCTAGAGACTGTTTACGGGAGACCTAACTAACAGCAGATTGTAAAAGGGATGCTGGACGTCAATTCTAGTCTCACAACCACTTCCAGTATTTTTTGAGTTACTTCTTCTACCCTTTCGTTTGAAAAAGAACAGAAAAGACTGCAGCTTAACACTACCAATGCAACTTTTAAACGGGAACTTGGTTTAAACCTTTGTTTGATATTCGATTTCTAATGAACGTTCGTGAATAAATTTTTTAAATCTAATGCTACTTTGTTTCATCTACTTAATCGTTGCAAGAAACTTGTGATACACGAGCCTCTCAGCATCTAGTTCATATGTCGTAAATCTAAGTGACTTAGTAAATATCTTCGTTATTTTCTTGGGAAACCTACAGACTCGGGTGCTCTCATAATTTATTCTGACCACCATGGATGGACACGCGTTACACATCCTAACCGTACCTGCGTCTAATCTTATAGCTCCTTATTCAAATGCCATATGATAAGCCAGCAATGTCCCTGCCCGCACTAATGGAACACTAGTAACTCACAGGCACCCTGTATTGCACCTTAGATAGGTCTACGCACTCGCTTTGCTCTTTAGTGGGAATATTACTACAGTCCTGGTAAAAATCACATGAACCCCTTATCTCCATCAAAACAAATGCCTGTATTTGCTGCATATAGCAATTTTATTTTTCAGAAGATATAACAGTTAGAATTAGAGTAAAATGGAAATATACAGCAGATACACGTGGTACATGTCTTCACTGATTAACTGAAATAGAGAATACGGATATTAGCTTAACAGGCTTATTTAGAAAGACTAGTGTCTAATTTGAACTTACCGCGTGAGAAAGTTATACTGGAACTACTAATGTTGTAGAAATAGAGTTTCTCGGAGCGTACGGAGCACTCAAACTGGAAGACAGTTGTCCAAAATGATTCGAATATGAAGGTGAAAATTTGCAGGTACTTTTCATCGTAAGGGTAAACATATTAGGTACCGGTTGACATCATACCGTAAAAAACAAAAATTTGAGAGTGGTGAAATATGATCTGTAAAAAGTCAGCTTAATAACGGTTAATTGCCTTTTTACTCCGTGATCATGACCCTTCGGCTTCCTTTTATGGCCAAAACAGCAAACATACACTACACACTGATAGCAGATTTCCGGCTTTTCAATGTTAAGCTTGCTTTAACACACTACGTAATGAGTACAACTCGTCTATTACTGCTATATGGCATATTCTTTATAACAAACCCTCTGCAATAGATTGGTAGCATCTGTGACTTCATCTGTAGTTGTCGGAAGTCTGGGTCCTTACGAAATCAGTACTGATATCCACTACTGCTGGGCACTCAGTATTAGTTTGACTCGTTGGTGGGATAGTGTTGTCCATAATACCGAAGAAGATTAAAAACCGTAGATTGTTTCCCTTCATTTTGCCGTTAATATCATAAAGGACAGTTAGGAACGAACATGCGAACAGTTAGAGTCACAGGCGGCAGCAACAATTATTTTAGCTAAATAAAAACGAACTTCGGCTTTGGATATCTAGAAAACAAGGTTAAATATAACCGATTATCATTTAAAAACATAAGGTTTTATGTTAGTACTAGCCAGCTTAGTTGAATAAATGCATTGACTTCAGTAGCAGCAGGAAAGACCCAGAAAACAAAACAAAATCAGGAAAACTTTTGCTCCAACGTTTAGAGTATTACATTAACTTCTGCATTTTAGCACACTGAAACATTAAATTACATAGCGTAGTGTCAGTTATTATGGCAAGCCCATATACCTTATTCTAACTTCCGGACATCCTATTTTATTCATTTTACTTGAGCCATATTTTGACCTTGTCAATTATTCGCTTGTCAGTTTTGACTGTTTTTATATCAGCGTATATGTGTGTGCCCTTCTTATCGCATTAATCACATGTCTGTAGCTTTATTTTGTCTGACTATAAATATTGAGTAACGCTTGACAAAGATGGAGTTGGCTTCCCAGCCATCTTCCCTGTGCGTCACTTTGCTTGGCTCTGTTTCATTCACTTCATATACAAAATATATGTATTCACAAATCAATTCTCGTTATTCGACTTATTTAATTCCGTTATTGGATAACGCGATAGGCGATAGCAAACATCCATACGATCTAAATGGGAGTCGAGAACCACGGGCCCCTAAAATAGCTACACAAAAGAAATAGCTGTAAAAATCACAGAACGAAGAAAGCCGACCGCCATTGCTTACAAAGAAGGCGGACATAATGATTCCCGCTTCATTTTGATTGGTTGTTAAGCTGAAGGGCACATTTACGAATTTGAGTTGCGTTTAATTGCAGCCTGGATGAACTCAAATCAAATCTAAAATGGTCTTGATTTGACCGCTTCTGCAAAACTTGACTAACTATCGAGGTGACGCGCCAATCATTTTACAACAGTTTGACCTTGAAGTGCTCAGCGACCTCCATCAGTGGACGAGACCCCTGAAGCGTTGCCCCTCACATCAATCCTCAAATGAATCTAGCATATCTTGACGGTTAGTTTTCCTAAATCTTCGTTTTAAACTGTTCATGTGAAAAGCATTCTCTGTAAGTTCTCAAGACAAAATAAAGTCAGTATTTGTATCGTTTCGAAAAGGGCAGTGATTTTTGTACTTATTGTGATTATCCTTGCTTGTGTACTTGTTGCATCGTAAAGCATTCTTGGTCTAGCTTAACTATAAGAACTTTGGTTAAGGTTTGAAATTTTTGTTAAACTTTGTCCTGTGGTACCTCTTTCTTAACTCATTGACTGACACTCGTGTCCACATTGTGATCGTATTGTGTTTCAAACCTTTTTAATCAAATTACAACGGTTGGTAAGACTTAGAAATGTGGACAACCAAACTGCCTGTTCCCCGTTAAGGAAGGAATGCATTGCAATGAATGTAAAAGATGGTAACATAAGATGTATAAACGTCTAAGTCATACAGCATACAAAAGTTGCTCGAAGCCTAACTCGCATTAGCTTTCTGTGTTCTGCTGTACAAGTAAATAGTTACTGCTCCAGAAGGCTATGAGCCTATTGGTTTTGGCCTATAAGAAAAACGATGGGAGTTGCCCTGATAATATGATTACTGAGACTCAGATTTGTGTAGTGAAAGCAGAAGGCCTACGGCCTATGTTATTCCTTTCCTAGTATGCTTCTGGGAGTGTTCAGTCTTCTCTTGAAAGAGTAAATTGAAGGTGCGGACAACACTGCTTCGGGCAGCAGGTTTCAAGCATTGATGACTCGGTGTGAAACCCTGTATGCCACGGGTATTTTGTTCGTTCTAGGCTTTTTTTTACTCACCTGCTATGTCCTCTGAGATGTCCCGATCTAGTGGGAAGAAAAAGAGAATAAATTAGGTCCAAAATCATTTCTCAGTATTCTGTACATCAAAATGAGATCTCCCCTTAATCTGCGATAGGACAGAGTAAAGAGGTCCAGCTTTTCAAGCCGCTCTTTGTATGGTAAACCCCGGAGTTCTGGAATTGCACGGGTAGCTGCCCTCTGTATTTTTTCTAGGATATCCGAGTCACCTTTTAAACAGGGGCTTTCAGCCTGAATGCAGTTCTCAAGCTTAGTTCTCACTAAGGATGTGTATACTGTAGTGAACACGGTAGTATCTAACTTAGTAAATGTCCGTTTTAAAGCCCAGAGGGTTCGAAACCCCTTAGCTGAGACTTCCCGGCAATGGGCCGTCGTCTTAAGATCATGACTCACTGTCACCCCTAGATCCTTATGAGACCGGACTACGGGTAATGGCACTTCCCCTATGTTGTACCTATTAACCTTGGAATCCCCAAAATACATGTAGACACGCTTTGCCGCGTTTATAGGCATCAGCCACTCTTTAGACCAGTTTATCATATTATTTAAGTCTGCCTGAAGAGCACATGCGTCTTTGTCTCCAGTTATTACTCGCCAGATTTTTACATCGTCAGCGTGTAATAACATTGGAGACTGTACTATACTTGATCAAAATAATATGAAATCATATGAAATGTAGTTGGCATAATCTGCACTCAAGCAGCCCAAGGGAATATTCTCGTACATAAACTACCGAACAAGGATGCATCATTGGATTCCCAACATAATTAAAGAAGGGTGTGAATCTGAAATGATAGAGGAAGATCAGGAAAAAGCAGAGGCTATGAGTGATTATTTTGGGGCAGTTTTCACTCAGGAACCTCCTCTAGAGAAAGAACCAGACCAAAATAAACAGTTAACTAACCAACTGCTCACAGTGGACTTCAACCAAGATGTGCTTAAGGCTCTGAGCACCTTAAACATGGAAAAGTCAACAGGACCAGATGAACTACATCCCAAAATCTTGAGACATATTGCACAATATATCGCGGCCCCACTGACTGTGATATTCAATATGTCACTTGACCAAAGTGTGTTACCTATGGACTGGAAGGATGCAATCGTCACTTCCATACATAAAACAGGTCCACGACAAGTTCCATCGACTTACAGACCTGTAAGCCTCACCAGTGTTATAGTTAAAATCTTGGAAAGAATAGTCAAACGGACCATAATGGCATTTATGGAAACCAATAACTTGCTAAACGTAGAACATGGTTTTAGGAAGGGTTTATCTTGTACAACGAACCTCCTTATAACAAGGGAGTTTTGGATAAATGCGCTAAACGACGGAAACTCAGTGGATGTTGTCTACATAGATTTCAGTAAGGCTTTTGACAAGGTGCCAACTAATAGACTGCTATTGAGGTTGGAAAACCTGGATATTTCCGGACCTCTTTTAAAATGGATTAAGGATTTCCTAGTAGGTCGTAGGCAGAAAGTAAGAATAAACTTCAAGTGCTCCATCTGGAGACAAGTGTTAGTGGGGTACCTCAAGGTTCCGTCCTAGGTCCCTTACTTTTTGTAATGTATGTTAATGATCTTTCAAGTATAGTACAGTCTCCAATGTTATTACACGCTGACGATGTAAAAATCTGGCGAGTAATAACTGGAGACAAAGACGCATGTGCTCTTCAGGCAGACTTAAATAATATGATAAACTGGTCTAAAGAGTGGCTGATGCCTATAAACGCGGCAAAGCGTGTCTACATGTATTTTGGGGATTCCAAGGTTAATAGGTACAACATAGGGGAAGTGCCATTACCCGTAGTCCGGTCTCATAAGGATCTAGGGGTGACAGTGAGTCATGATCTTAAGACGACGGCCCATTGCCGGGAAGTCTCAGCTAAGGGGTTTCGAACCCTCTGGGCTTTAAAACGGACATTTACTAAGTTAGATACTACCGTGTTCACTACAGTATACACATCCTTAGTGAGAACTAAGCTTGAGAACTGCATTCAGGCTGAAAGCCCCTGTTTAAAAGGTGACTCGGATATCCTAGAAAAAATACAGAGGGCAGCTACCCGTGCAATTCCAGAACTCCGGGGTTTACCATACAAAGAGCGGCTTGAAAAGCTGGACCTCTTTACTCTGTCCTATCGCAGATTAAGGGGAGATCTCATTTTGATGTACAGAATACTGAGAAATGATTTTGGACCTAATTTATTCTCTTTTTCTTCCCACTAGATCGGGACATCTCAGAGGACATAGCAGGTGAGTAAAAAAAAGCCTAGAACGAACAAAATACCCGTGGCATACAGGGTTTCACACCGAGTCATCAATGCTTGGAACCTGCTGCCCGAAGCAGTGTTGTCCGCACCTTCAATTTACTCTTTCAAGAGAAGACTGAACACTCCCAGAAGCATACTAGGAAAGGAATAACATAGGCCGTAGGCCTTCTGTCTTCACTATACAATCTGAATCTTTGCTTCTTCTACATTTTAGTGGTTTTAGATACTGAAGCTTGTGAAATTTTACTATTGCTTCTCTAAGTGAAATCAACGAGAAAATTTTACTAGCATAGATAAATTGTTCACTCAACATTCATGTCAGGTTAGCAACCAGTTTGTATATTTCCGTCTATTCATTAGACTTCGGTGGTCGTGTAAACATTCGTATACGTTACATCAACAATAGAGGATATAAGCTAAGAAAAATGATCAGAACGCCTGTTTAAATCAGGGTAAACAATATCCTTGGCAATTTCACTACAGCATATTGCATAGTCTCTGTTTAATTTCCTTTGGATTATTTACTTTCCATACAGATGTCTTTTTGCGTAAAACCTTTTTAATAGTCTTATTTTTAAACAGACAAGGATGAATGTAATGACATCGCTATTGGTATCGATATTTCAGAGGATTACAGTCAAACAAACAATGTCTCTGGTGATTCACTCATTAAAATGAGAGCACAATGGACTGAAGAATTAAAGCAAGTATGTGAAATTTTACTACCAAAGAATAATAATATGCCTATAAGATGAACGTTTCGTGTTGTGGAATTAGAGCTTCGTTGTTTACTTAGTCCTCAACCATATGGTCACCTATTCAAACTATGCTACTCATGGTTGTTAGAGTGGTTGGCCATAAAATATGTCTTAAGTATGAATATAGGTTCTAGTTAGTCTGTATGGTCCCATGCAATAAATGTTTATCCTGTGGCATGATATCATGAGTTATGTACTCAGACACCAAAAATGTACTCGAGGGTGGTGAATATTTTTTAATACTAAAATTTCTATACGGAATTTGACGGAGTGTGGAGGTATTTAGTCTTCAGTAATAAGGATATTAAGTCGGTGGACCTGTGTTAATCCTTGCGGTTGGTTTTCTAGTTAGAGTCCATCCTCTCGAAAATGTTCACTGATAAAACTGATGCCACTTGTTTGGGTAAGGCATTCAGTCATCGACTACTTAGTGAGAGAAACGGAACCACACTCTAAGTTTATGAGTTCACGGTTTTTGAACCCTTTTTCTGCAGCCTCGGAGATGATTAGTTCTGGGGGGAGGAGTAAAATGATGAAACATATTAACACTCAAGTCGTTAATAAAAATACAGAAGGCCGATGTAAGGCCACCTCGCGTTCTACGATATGTTATGGGGAAAAGGTTCAGGGTTTCAACCCTCATTGTAAGAGATTTTGAAAGTACCTTTCACTAACTTTGTTCTCATACAGTGAACACGCTTGGGTGTGTTAGTATTTTTAGCAACACATAAACAGGCTGCTCGGATACAGTACTCCAGGTGTGCTCTTACATAGGTGGAATATAAAATCCGAAACGTCTCGTCAAAGCATTTGAATGCTCGGTCAAGTGACTAAAACGCTTAAACTCCTTTGATGGCTGTTGCGTTGCAATGTGCAGTTGTTTTTAAGTCGTGACTTACTACTATTATCCCTAACTCTGTTAGTGCATACTTGGAAGCGAAGTACGGTCAGTGGTATACTGGTAATTGTTACTGTGTCCTATGTGCATTATCACACTTCCTAAACTCAGTTTCTGAGCCCCAACTTTGGTACACCTACCTGATTCTTCTAGGTCAGCCTGGAGATCAAGGTTACTAGCCTCACCACTTTTTGTCCTCCAGATTTTGACATCTGCAAACAGTGAAGTCGACAACCTAAGCAGCGGCGGTAGTTCATTAATGTATTGAAGAAAAATAGGGAAGCTAGGATGTTCTCTTGGGGTACCCCACTTTTGACCGGCTTCTATCGAGTGTCCCATTTCCCCTCACTGTCCTGGGCCAGAGAGGAAGTTCTTTATCCATTATTGTATGGCATCTGTTATTCCAAAGTTAGAGAGCTGCATAAGCCCTAAGTGAGAGACCTTATAAAATGCTCTGATAAAATCCATGAATATCACATCGACAAAATGTCATCTTAGACTTGTCCGATCCTCTCTCGTGATAAGTTGGTTAAGCATGAACTCTGTCTGAAACCTGTGTTGCTTAACCGGTCGCATGAGTCCGTGTTACGTAGTAACAGCCCATATTTTTTTCATGTAACTTAACTACTATGCTGGTTAGTCTGACAGGTCGGTACGTAGACACGGTGTCTATTTAAGTGTAGGACTAACTATAAAATCTTTCCAATCCCAAGGTAGTTGAGTTTGGGAAAAAGATATGCTGGAAAGCGTCATGAGTGGTCCTGAGATAATGTCTGCGAGAGATGACAACAACGGTGGAATTAACCCATCAAGACCTAGTGTCTTGTCAGGTCTTAGGCTAATCGAAAAACAGCTTCCACAGTCACATGTATGGGTCCTATAGCTAGTATCTAAGTGATGGGGTTATGACGAGTGTTATTAACGTTACTTGTAGAGTATACCCCTCACGTTGAAATCTCCAACGATGAGACAACAGTCGGCCTTACTTCAAGAACAGATTCGACTTCAGGCAAAGTCGTCAGCAAGATAACATGAACTACGGTACATTCATCTTATAGTCACTAATTCACGTAAATTTAATTGTACAACAAATTACCTCATGTACATCACGTGCCTCTGTGATGTGCTTGATTATACACGAAAATGATCTCCGACATGTAATATCATGCCTCCTTCCTTGCGATTTATAACTCTATCACTTTCAATGTAGATGTATCCTGCAATGATTGGAGAACAGTCTACATCTATGATATGCCACATTTCTGTGACAACAATTATATCGGGACTTAATTCATCCACCATCAAACTTAGCTCGAAGGTTTTATTTCTAAGACTACGAGCATTTGTATTGCACATATGATGTTTTGGGAATCATTCGTTTTACCCATACAAGTCTTGAAAGCATTGGCTTTCTAAACGTGACTACCCCGAAACCCTGGATCTTAAGGCTTGTTTCGCCATTTTGCTTTCAGGTTTCTAACTCAGTAAGGGAATTTTTCCACTTGATTCGATCCTCAAGTAACCATTCTGGTGGTATACGAATATTCGAATTACGAGTTTTGTATGTTATTTAGTATAACATTCCTTCCCTCATAACTGCTACCATGACATGGTGGTTGTGCTTGCCTATCGTAATGACTCAGCCGAGCTATATTGGCCAGAACACAGTTCCTTTAGGTTCTACCGTGCCAGGCAGTCGGATGGAGAACGGTAAGAAGTAGTAAATTAAGACCCATAGCAAATTCGTACTACTTATTGTAGGAGGGATGACAGCAGTAAGGTGTTTTCCTCGGACAACCAGCATCTGCGGCGATGATGACTTTTCACGACGAACGGAAGGGGTTAGAAAAGGTTGACCCAAAAATGTCACACTTCATTTTACCCCACGGGTTTCCGTTTCCGCCGGTAATGTCTTTTGAAGTGCGGAGCTAATACATCAAAACCCTCCCACAAAAAAGCCGTACACAGCCGGCCCTAAGCAGTTTTCCGTTAGGTTCCTTAGTCACGCTTCTAGGTCGTTAAGACCACCCCGACCGTTGTTGCTACCTTGACGTGGTGGTCGGGCTTGCCTATCCTGGTGAAGCAACTGAGCTATACTGGCTGGAACAACCGTTCTTCAAGGTCCTGCCATGTCAGACAGGTCGGTTGAAGAGCGGTAAGACTAAAAGCAACAAACCTAATGTCCGAAGGCGAAGTCGTAATGCTGACTGTACAGAGGTGTGACAGCAGTAAGGTGTTTCCTTCAGACAACCAGCATGACAGCGATGCTGCCTTCCCACAAGGAGGGGTGGGGTTAGAAAAGGTAGACCCTAAAAATGCACACCTCACCTTACCTCACGGATTTCCGTCTCCGGCGGTAAGGCCCTTTGAAGAACGGAGCTAACACGTCAAAATCCTCCCACAAAAAGGCTTTGCGCGACCGGCCTCAAGCAGTTGTCCCTTGGGCACTGCGGTCACGCTCTCAGGTCACTAAGACCACCTCTAATCCAATTTCCTTTTCAGGTACCTCCAGAAGAACCCTTCCACGATGTTGCTTGGAAAGACATACAAACAGCTGTGGAAACAGCAGTGACATCCATTAGTGACTTAAACCACAGAGTTACAAAGAACCAGTGGATTTCTTCAAGGTCTATCACACTGATGGATTCTCGCAAACTCGTCCCATCAGGTTCTGAACATGATGAAGAGCGTAAACAAATAAGATCTAGGTTAAGAAAAAGTCTAAGAGACGACCGTGAGCAGTGGTGGGTAACGAAAGCAAAAGAGATGGAAAAGGCGGTGACTATAGGAAACACAAGACAGCTTTACAGACTAATAAAAGAGACTGGAATTAATAAGTCAAGTGTAAGTGAGATTATTTCGGAAAAAGACGATACTCTCATCTGCTCTCAGTCCAGACGTTTAGAACGATGGGCGGAACATTTCAGAGAACAGTTCAACTGACCTTCAGCTACTCTACAACTACCTTCCATTCCCAGACAGTGTGAATGGAACATTGAAGTAGGTCCCCCTACTCTAACAGAAGTTCAAAAGGCTATAGTTAATCTGAAACGAGGAAGGGCAGCTGGTCCAGATGGATTGGCTCCAGAGGTCTTTGAGGATGGTGGTTCAATTTTGGCGATTAGGTTGACTAATATTTTAGCTAAAATCTGGGAATTAGACGTTATTCCATCTGACTGGTCACAATCACTTATCGTCCCAATATATAAGAGAGGGTCAAAATCATCCTGTGACAACCATAGAGGGATTATTTTAACTAATATAGTATCTAAAATATTGGCCTCGATAATTATCAGACGCTTAACTAAGACTCGTGAACTGCGAACACGAGAGAACCAAGCTGGCTTTAGACCTGGTCGTGGCTGCATCGACTACATATTCACCATTCGTCAGGTTCTAGAACATAGGCATACTTATCGGCGTCCGACAATGGTGGTCTTTCTCGACTTAAAAGCAGCATTTGACTCGGTAGACCGCAAGATTCTGTGGCAGTGTCTGTCATTGAAAGGCGTACCCCAGAAGTACATAAACCTTGTAAAGGCTCTTTACTCGAACACTACTAGTCGAGTCAGAGCTTATGGCGAACTGTCATCTGCTTTTGCAACCTCAAGTGGTGTCCGTCAAGGCTGTCCACTTTCTCCATTTTTGTTTAACTTCATCATAGATCTACTAATGGAAATAACTTCCTCGTCGTCTGATTGCAGCCCGGACGAAGTTGAATTTTATGGGGAGCTACCCAACCTCCAAAGAGCTAAACGCTATGATGTACTAATAATGGCAGGTAGTTTTAATGACCAATTAGGTAAACTAGACGAAACCGAAAGGCACTCAGGAAGGTCTTACGGGGTTGCGGCTCAGCGAACAGATAACGGTGACCACTTGTTATTCAGATAACTTCCAAATGCAAGGTTGGGGAGAATCAGCTCTCTCTCTCGAAATGCTCTCACATGGCCACGTGCAGACAACCACTGCCAGGGAAGTCCTAGTCACTGCCTTCTCGCATCACGAGTATTGTTTACGAAATTGAGAGGACAAAAAGCGAATCACTAGCGCTTTAACCGGGTTGGTGGACATGAAGAGTTGAACATGGGGGCATGGGACATGGACATGGGAAGTTGAAAAACCCTGATTCCAAACCAGTGGTACTCATGGGCTCCAGGATCCTGAAGGAACAAGTGACGTATGAACCAATTGTTAGTCTCCGGCTACCATGGGGTTGCATCTCCTGCCGTTGCTCCATTGCCTTGTGGATTAGACCTTGAGGTTGAAGGCTTCGGGTGTGGCCCTCTAAGAGAACCACATGCCTCGGTCCGGGCACCTGAGGAGTATCACAGCCCACACAAATAAAATGAAATGACGATAATTACTGAAAATGCTATTCGCACCTCGGCTGAAAGTCAGACAATTCGCGTTCATTCTTTTTTCAATTATTACGTCACTTGTCCGCTCTTCTATTCCCACTTTGTGTATCCTTATATTTCAACTTATACAGCAGCTCACTTATGGTGGGAGCTGTTCTGTCTGAACGATCTCGATGCTTCCACCAAATACGAATACCGAAACAGTCCTTCTGAAACCACGTATATTATTCAAACTGACTTTTTTCAACGTTCGCACACTAACGCATATCGGACAACATAGAGAGTTGGCTAGACCTTTAGGGTATTTGGGGGCTGAGGATGCTAGACGACTCTGTTTGATCATCGTTATCTCCGAAGTATTGCCAGCATCCAGTGGCAACAGCATGTTAGTAATGCAGAGGTTCAGAATTGTGTGTTCGGGCACAGCGACGATAATTCAGTTGATGTCACTATCTTGAAAAATTGACTTCGGTGGGTTGTACGTGTTCTACGAGTGTCATCCCAGAGAATTCCACGTCGTGCATTATTTGTCGACTCTGGGACTGGTTGGAAACAAATGGAGAGGTGGTCTGAATGAAAACTCTACTGGACTGGCTTCTTTCGGTCCTTCACGACTCCCTGGTTGGGGTCCTAGAGATGTTATCAGATATAGCTCAGAATATAAGCCAATGGCGATCCTGCTGTAATTTTATTTTACTTTCTTCGTTTAATTAAGGACGTATCTTCTTTAAATGGAAGAATTCTCTCATCGGAATCGGTTACTTCAAGCGATGTTTGTCAGGGTTATTCGCTTTCCCCATTTTTATTTAACTGTGTCATAGACATGCTTTTAGGGATAGCACTCATCGCCTGACTTTTCAGGGATTGATCTTCTACCAGGAAATTCACTTGTTGACCTAGGATACACAGATGATATAGTTCTGTTCGGTGAAGTTTGTAAAAGTGCAGTCTTTTGAACATCTTAGGCAATAAATCATGTAGGTTTAGAATGCGATTCACCCCATCCAAAGGTAAAATATTCAGAATCGGCTTGCGTCATTACCTGAATTATTAATAGGGAGTGAAGTAGGTAAACATATCAATCACCTAATTTATCTCAGGAGTCTCATCAGTACTGATGGTCTGGTGTCATTGAGACTACAATTTATGGATGAACCAATCAGATATGAGATAACAGCCATTTGATTTCGGCGCGAAATCCATCCATTTGGCTAAATTGCGTTTTGGCATTTTGGCTGATGTCAGTCGGTGATGAAAACCCTAAATCCTTATCCTAACCATCAAATGTAAATCGCAATTCTAATCTCTCACACTGCTTTATAACCCTCATTCAGTAGGTGAACACTCTCAAGGTCACGTTATCGTCTCGCGAAGGTCGTCCATAAATTATAGTCCCACCCTGGTGTCTGACGAAGTCTCAGCACGGATTCAGAAGGCTTAATCGGCTTTTGCCAACCTGCGTCACTTGTGGATTAGACGAGATATCTATCTTCAAACTAGAGCCAGTTTACTGCGGAGCTGTTCACTCCGTTCTACTTCATAAATGTGAAACATGACCATTAAGAGTAGAGGATATTTGTAGGTTAATGGTATTCGATCATAGGTCTCTACAAAACATTGCTCGTGTATGCTGGGAGCAAGGAGTAGGCAATGCCTGCGTTGGGAATAGAGTACTAGGTAAAGATGTGAAATCGATTAATGAGGTAGTAAATCTTCATCGACTGAGGTGGTTGGTATAGGTGTTGCGTATGCCCACCTACCTCAACGGACAGTTATTTTACACAAGAGCAGGCTGAGAAAAGGCTAGGGTCGGCCAAACCAAAACTAGACATCAATCCGTGAAGTTACTGACAATCAGACTTATCCATGTTAATAGGTACAGACTACCTGGTTGGGGTCCGCGTGATTATCGTAATCAATGGTTAGAGACATTGAATGACGGCTCAAAGTCCTTTGCACTGACATAGGTGCATCCATTCCCTGTCTCTCCCCAAATCCATTCTTCACTGTTCGATCCTCTTGTCTCTTTGTTGTCAGTCATTCTGTTCACGACTAACGTCATACACCACTTGTGTCAATATAAGTAGCACACACCACACTACTACCTCAACTATTCAGGGATTTCGCCCGACAATTTCATCTCTGTACTAGTGGGGTATGGTAACTTAAACCTGTGTACATAAGTACAAGTTCTACGCTGTCTGAGTGTAACTTCTATGTACCTACTTCAAAATCCTTCTTGGTTGTGTCTCGCCTCCAACCTACTTATCACTTCAGTATTATGTACTGCTAAAACCTATTCTGGCAGTACATTTCTGATAGCGGATTCCGCTAACTCCAACTCGTGTGCATGTCTTTTAGCAGGGCCATTTTCTTTTGACTCTTTCAGATTCCAAATGAACTTAACTTCTTTGAAAGTCGATTGATTTTTCGCTTAATGCACTGCATGTTTTAGTATGGCGGTTGTGTTCTGTAAGATACTCGTAATTTCCTAAGTAGGCTAATTTTACAAGGCAGTGGAGAAATTATTAGTATCGAGGCATTATATAAGGAGAAGTATTAGTCTCAATGTATATTTCCATTGGATTTTACCTCTCAGATTCTTATCTAATATTTCTTCGTATTCTAATCTTTTACATATCAATAATCTAAAAATGTACGATTTTAAATGTTATTTTTATCCTTCTTTGAGGTCGAAGATGAAATTCAAACACTGCGACAAGTCTTATTATCTAAATTTCGTCGGCAGCAGTTTTTAAAGCGCCAGCTTGGTATAACACCAATTGAAGAACTAAAAAGTGAGGTTAAACAAGGTCTAGATACTTTGCGAACCAGTGATGCGTAAGTCTATTAGTTATTTGCTAGATTTCTCTTAATGTTGTTGCATAGGCTTACCCATGTTCACGTCAAAGTAATATGAGTGTCCTGAAAAAATATAACGCTGTTGATATGATGTGATTATGGTTTACAGAATAGCAAACTAAATAGTTAGAAATATGATATTAATGACTTAAACTATATTTTGAATTCAACACTAGCCTTTAATTTCATTCTTAACATTGAATCACGTTAAAAGACCTGTGGTCAGGGGTCTCTTTACAACAGTTCAGATATATATATTTGAAAAAAAGTGTTGATGATTCTACCTCATTATATGATAGTTGTTATGACAAGAGCAAGACTTGTGAAGTGAATATTGTTGTGATTTGTGGTCGGCTAATATCATGTGATCAGGTAGCCAATCAGAATACGACTCATACAATCTTAGCACTGTGGCACAACAATGACTTATTGACCGATATGAACAGCCTAGTGTCCTTATTAGTCCTTTTTCTGCCTAGCTCTGCCTGTTGAGACCACAACGCCAACATCAGCCTCCACTGCACGAAGTTCATGAAAAGAGGTCATATTGAATAATTTAATCATAAGTTGTATTTAAGGATTACATATCCTTAACAATTTCACTTATCACTCTAATGATAGATGATTTTAGAAAGAAATAACATTCATTTATTATATGAAATTGTTCTTGTCCTCTGATAACCTTCTAGATATCTTAAAACATCAGCTGTTGTAAAAACTGCTAAGGATAAGACATCAGCTGCATTATTTGAGAAATGGAATTTATTACGGTATGTTTATCAACAGATTTATTTATTGATGTTTATTTCATTTAATATGTATATCAAAATTTTATGTAGACATTCTCATCAGGTGGAAAGAAAATTTTATTATTTATTTTATTTGAATACATAAATATTAGTATAAAGGGGCACCGAATACATTTGCGCCACGTAAGTCACTTGTGTGTGGGCTGTGGTACTGCCCGGGTGCCCGAACGGAAGCAGGTGCTTTTTTAGAGGGCCACACCCGGAGCCTTCAACCTAAAGGTCTGATCCGCAAGGCAGTGGAGCAACGTCAGAAGATGTAGTCCCATGGTAGTCGGTGACCAACAATAGGTTCATACTCCGTTTGTTCTCTCTGGATACTGAAGCCAGCCCTTTTGCACCATTGGTTCAGAATTAGGGTTGTTCAACTCCCCTAGGCGCACCCTCCGTGTCCACCGAAACCCGGTTGAAGCTCCAGATATTCGCTTTCTATCCCCTCAATTTCGCAAACAACAATTATGCCGCGAGTAGGCAGTGAGAACTTCCCTGTGAAAGGAATTTGTAGTAAATTTTTTCACGTTTCTGTACTTTTAATTGGTAGGTGGGTTAGGGCTACATACTTTTTATTATTGCGGAAACCCAAACAGATAGGTGTGAGTTTTCGACTTCATGGATAAGCCACGGCTCGCATTGGTCATTGCATTTTTTCAAGTGTCATTAGGTTTTATAATGTGATCACTAACCTCTAGTGTGCTAGTTATTCACATTGTTATTCTTATGTCGATCCTACCTCCCACGCAAATTAGCTTTCATTTGAAGCCATGTATTAATATAGAGCCACATACTGTACTCATCCAACAGAATGACCAAAATGAAAGTGAACATGCCCCCTGAATGCCCTGGTACGGCCGAGAGTGGGGAGAGTCCGCTCTCCCTCTCGAAATACTCTCACACGGCCACGCGTATACAGCCTCTGCCAGGGAAGTCCTACTCATTGCCTTCTCGTGGCGGGGGTGTTGTTTACGAAAATGAGAGGACGAAAAGCGAATGTCCGGCGCTTTAACCGGATTCCAAACCAATGGTGCACATGGGCTCCAGTATCCTGCGGGAACGAATGGCGTATGAACCAATCGTTGGTCACCGGCTACCATGGGACTGCATCTCCTTACGATGCTCCACTGCCTTGTGGGTTAGACCTTTAGGTCAAAGGCTCGGGGAGTGGCCCCCTAAGATAACCACCTGCTTCGGTTTGGGCACCCGGGCAGTATCACAGCCCACACACAAATGATGAACTCTATGTCTATGGAAACTACTTTTGTCGCTTTGAAAAACAATCAATTGATTCAAATTATGATCACTACAATTATTGTCATTATTAATACTAATATTATTATTACTACTATTATTGTCATTATTGTTATTATTATCATTATTATTATTATTTTCCACATTATTCACCTTCTTTTATACTTATACAGCGGCTCGTCTTTGGTGGAATTCCGACTGTATCTAAACGTTCTCGAGTCACTGTCCGGTTGAAAATTGTATGTTACCACCGAATACGAGGACTGAAGCAGATTTTCTGAAACCACGTGCATCATTCAAACTGGCTGCCTTCAACGTTCGCACATTTATGCAGGTCGGACAACAGATAGGGCTGGCTATGTCTTTGGAAAGTCTTAATATCGACGTGTGTTGTCTATCCGAGACCCGTATTCAAGACTCTGGCGAAGTACTACAAATTCGATCTCCATCTGTCGCTTCGAAAAGCTTGTTTTACGTGCGCTTATCCGGGGACCCTGTGGCATCTTCGTCTGGTTTTGCTGGCGTTGGTGTCGCACTAAGCGCTAGAGCTGAGGCAGCACTAGTCGATTGGATCCCCATTAACAGTCGGTTATGTGCTGTTAGATTAGAAAGTTCCATCAAAGTGAGAAGAAATCGGCGTGAGAAACGATGTCTTTTCGTCATCTCCGCCTATGCCCCGACAGATTGCAGCCCGGATGCAATCAAGGATGAGTTTTACCACCAGTTATCAGTTCTTCTCCAGAAAGGGCGTTCGACAGATATTGTAGTACTAGCCGGAGACTTGAATGCTCAGGTCGGGCGTCTAGGCACAGAAGAGAGTCGTTTAGGTGGCCGATGGGGACTCGTTGGTCGCAGGTCAGATAACGGGGACCGTCTACTGCAACTTTGCACAGACCACAACCTGTTTCTGGCTAGCACTAACTTTCGGCACAGTCATCGCCGATGTGCCACCTGGCGTCCTCCCTCTGCATCTCAAGCCTGGACTCAGATTGATCACATCGCGATCAGCTACCGCTGGCGTGGTTGTGTAAAAGACTGCCGCTCCTTTTGGAGTACCTATCTGGACTCTGACCATGCCTTGGTCTGCGCCAATCTTGCCTTACTTTTCAGTGGACAACGAAGTGAACGCCATCAACGGATTGATGTTAGCAAGCTGGTTGCAACTTCTGTTGCAAGTAAGTATCGAACCGAGCTAGCCTCTAGGCTAGCTACCACTCCACCGAAAAGTATAGATGAGCATTGGTTGCAATTGCATGACGCCATGAAAATGGCGGGAACAGTCAGTTGTGGGTTTGCGAAACGTCCCGCTTTTAAGCACTGGGTTTCTTCTGGTTCCTTACAACTCATTGAAGCCCGTCGGTCTACTCCGGGTGACCGTGAGTTTGACCATAAACGAAGGATGTTACGTAAGGAAATCGGGCAAAGCTTGCGTAAGGACCGAGAAGCCTGGTGGTCGATGCGTGCTAATGAGCTGGAAGCAGCAGCTGCATCTGGTAACTACCGGAAGCTCTTCCAACTCATCCGAGCCACTGGCAGCAAGAAGTCTGGTGTGAGTGAAACAATCTGCGAGGGTGATGGGATGCCAATCACTAAAATCCATCGACGTCTTGGACGATGGGCAGAATTTTTCGAAGGGCAGTTCAACTGGCCTGCTGCTCCGGCAACATCGGTCAGACTGTCCTGCCCTCCATGGCCGGTGACGACTGATCCACCAAATGAGGAGGAAGTCCGCAAGGAACTCCAACTCTTGAAGCGTTACAAATCACCTGGCCCAGATGACTTACCTCCGGCTCTTTTTAAAGATGGTGGTGACTTTTTGACTAAGGAATTGACGACGTTGTTTACAAAGGTTTGGGAACTAGAGAGTGTACCAACGTCATGGAATGAGTCGATAGTTGTCCCTATCTTTAAAAAGGGTTCACGTCGTTCTTGTAACAACTATCGGGGGATAAGTTTACTTCCGATTGCGTCCAAGCTATTGGCTTCCGTCATTCTTCGTAGGTTGTTCAAAACCCGAGAAAGATTGACTCGCGAGGAGCAGGCTGGGTTTCGTTCTGGTCGAGGAAGTATTGATCATATCTTCACCCTCCGCCAAATGTTAGAATACCGCCATACTTATCAAAGGCCAACAATCGTAGTGTTTCTTGACATCAGGGCTGCCTTCGATTCGTTGGATAGGACTATTCTCTGGGATTGTCTATTGAAGAAGGGTGTGCCTGAGAAGTTTATTAACATCCTAAAAGCCCTGTATAAAACACCTCAGGCAGAGTGAGGGCATACAACCACCTCTCTCCATTGTTCCATTCGAGCAGTGGGGTTAGGCAGGGTTGCCCAATCTCACCATTCCTCTTCAACTTTGCCATCGATGACATTCTGGAAACAGCTCTGATGAATGTAAGTAATGGTGGTGTGGATCTGTTGCCTGGAGAAAGACTTCTCGACCTTGAGTATGCGGACGATATTGTCTTACTGTGCGATAATGCCCAAGGCATGCAATCCGCACTTAATCAGTTGGCAATCAATGTCCGTAGGTATGGTATGTGCTTTGCACCTTCGAAGTGCAAAGTACTTCTACAAGACTGGCAGGATTCCAATCCTGTACTCACCCTGGATGGTGAGCAGATAGACGTAGTTGAGAAGTTCGTGTATCTGGGTAGCTGCATAAGTGCTGGTGGGGGTGTGAGTGATGAGATCAATGCACGAATAGTGAAAGCCAGAGCGGCTTATGCCAATCTGGGCCACCTTTGGCGCCTTCGTGATGTTAGTCTGGCTGTAAAAGGTCGGATCTACAACGCGACGGTGAGAGCAGTTTTGCTCTATGCTTGTGAAACCTGGCCTCTCCGAGTTGAGGACGTTAGACGACTCTCTGTGTTCGATCATCGCTGTCTCCGAAGGATTGCTGACATTCAGTGGCAACACCAAGTCAGTAATGCAGAGGTTCGGCATCGTGTGTTCGGGCACAGAGATGATAACTCAATTGGTGTCACCATCTTGAAACACCGACTTCGGTGGCTTGGACATGTTCTCCGAATGTCGTCCCAGAGAATTCCACGTCGTGCATTATTTGCCGACTCTGGGACTGGTTGGAAGAAGCGGAGAGGTGGTCAGTGCATGACATGGTGTCGTGGCATGAAAGAAAGCTGCAAAGGACTGGCTTGTGTTGGACCTTCACGACTCCCTGGTTGGGGTCCGAGAGATGGCGCTACACAGTGGCTAGAGACGTTATCAGATATGGCTCAGAATAGAAGCCAGTGGCGATCCTGCTGTAACCTTCTTTTACTTTCTTCATAAAAAGTGGTTGTATCTTCCTTAACTGAAAGATTTCTTCTGATTGTACCTCTTCGTCATTACTCTCTCTTTCTTTTGCGTTCCTTAGTTTTTTTTTTTCTTTTCTTCTCTTCGAATTCCCATTGTTTTGTGTGGCGCATATATATTGGCGCTCTCTTGTACCAATATTTATGTGTTCAAATAAATAAATAAATAAATAAATAAATAAAGTGAACATAACTGAAATTGTATTCGATCTCTTACGATCCATGTTGGAAGATTGTAAAAATTCTACACCTAGCCGTTTTTATTCAGTTCATAGATGGGTATGTGAATTCAGTAGTATACTAAGATGGAAAATCTAAAAAAAACATTCCTTAAAATGGTTTCCTATCTACAATGGCTTGTGTTGATTTGATCAGATCAACTCTGTCTTGTCATTGTCCTATCAA